AGAGAGAGAGAGAGAGAGAGAGAGAGAGAGAGAGAGTTTAAAAAATCCTGGAGAAATAAAATGCGAAGAAAATAAAATTACCCTATAAAAACCAAAACCATACACAAGATAAAAAAAAACCATATTTATAAAAAACACCCGAGAGAGCAAATAAAAACCAAAACATCTGCAGCATTTGCAAAAAGAGCGAAAAAAATAATAATAGAAAAATATATTTCATCGACGAAAGATTCCCTTGAGAAAATGTTAGAACAATATAAAATTACACAAAAATGTAACCTGTACTTATTCGTAGCGCTATATTTTTTCATTAATATAATTTACTTATAGAAGCACCATCTTGCTAACTTTTGTATAGTGAGTGGTTGGCGGGTAATCTGTTGTGGTTTGCGCCTTCTTCCCTATCAAACGTCTATTATATTCCTTATCTCCTCTCCTCCTTTTCTTTGTATGTTACCCTCTGGTGACACCTCCAATCTTCAGGACTTCTATAACCTATTTATGCTGCAAGTGGCGTAAAACTGTTACCAAAACTAAAACAAAAACTAGCTTTCGTTTTTTGTTTTTGCTTTACGATCTCGTGTCCAGGTCGATTATGACTCTATGGCGAACGTCGCGAGAGGCAAATCGGAGAAGTTCCGTGCCGGAAGTTGCATGGGGAGAGAACTGAGGGTCTGTCATCTTTCGCTGAACCCAACTTCCGGGACGAGCATCGAGGCTTGTGATGTTCACATTCGTCCTGTTTGCCTGCACGACTGCACGCACAAGCCCGCATAGGTCTCTCCGAAAAAACAACAACAATAAAAGCACGCAAAAAAGTATCTCAGAAAACAAGAACAATTATACGCCCTCTTCAAGAGTTGAAAAAATGATATTAGAGTCGAAAAATGGAAATTAAGGTTAAACCCGTTTCCTTCCCGTAGCCTGACATCGTGCAAGGAGGATGAAAAGAGGTTTTGGGGTAGAAATAGCAAAGATATTTCTAAGTTTGGCGAAAACTGCAGCGAGAACTAATTAAAGATGGAATTTACTCAGTTATTATGTGAACGCTATGCTTTTCACATGTAATTTTGAATTAAGATGTCAGAAAAGCTTGACATGGATTCATGCTAAAATCCAAAACCGTTGGTTGGAAAATAAATCATTGTTCTCTCTCTCCAAGCAAAAACAAATCAAAACATACCAAAAGAAATACATTATTTAGTGAAGATCAAACACATGCACGCCCTATGAACTTATTCATTTCGAAACGCAGAGATTTCAATTGCCAAAAAGATGTAAGAATAAGTCTGAATAATAAACGGACTCCCTCCTCAAAGATCAAGCAAACAA